GTGGATGACTCTGCTTAACTGTTTTAAAAAGCTTCTAAAAAAACGCCCTCTACAGGAGGATGCAGGAGAATGACGTGCCTCACCTATGTCAGGAATTTTCAGGCTTTTAACCCTTGCTTAACTCTGCTCGAGTGATCATAAAACACCTAAAGTCAGATTAGATGAGGCACTTCATTATCCTGCCTCCTCCTGTAGAGGGCGTTTTTTAAAACAGTTAAGCACTAAGCAGAGTCATCCACTGCACCATAGAGAGTAAGTATTTTAACTTTCTGCACCTGTGTATGGTTTGCCAATTGCACAGTGGCAGATAGGACAGCACTCCAGAGGGTTAACATCATTGCCCAGAGGATCATTGGTTGCCCTCTCCCCTCTTTGGAAGAGCTTTATAGCTCCCACGGCTTTGAAAGTTCAAAACATTCTTAAAGATCCAACTTATCCTGGGCACCCTTTTTTTGAACTATTACCATCTGGCAGATAGTACAGGATAATAAAAACAAGAACAAATAGGCTGAAAAACAGCTTCTACTCTAGGGCAGTAACTATATCGAATTCTATGGTATAGTGCAATATTAATGCAATATCAGCTTTGCAATTACCATTATATAGAACTGTGATGGTGAGCCTATGGCATACATGCCACAGGTGGCACATGGAGCCATGTTTGCTGGAATGCCAGGCCTCAGCTCCAGCACATGCAGGCCATTTTGCCCTCCCCAGGCTTCAGGAAAGCCTCCAGAGCCTGGGGAGGAGAAAAAACAGGCCGAATGGGCCAATCGTAAGTTCGTTCCTGAACTTCCGGTTGGCCCATTGTTCACCTTCCTCAGACTCCGGAGGCTTTCCTGAAGCCTGGGGAGGGCAAAAACTCCCCCCTCCATGTGTGTGGAGGTGGTCGCAAGCATGCGCAGGTGGGGGGGGACGCATTTTATTGTGAGTCTGGGCACACAAACAATTTTGGCACACCTTTACAAAAAGGTTAGCCATCACTGATATAGAATGCGAAGGATGTCTGTTTGTGTTTTTATTGTTATGGTTATAATGTACACTGAAGATTGTGATTAATTTCATTGTATGATGTGCAATGACAATAGTGTAAACTAAACTAAACTGATGCTCCCTTTTTCTAACATCTCTCTTTTCCTGCAGTTTCGGCGGGAGGGGCTACAACAGGGTTTGTCACAGCCTGATTGGTCCAGAGACTGAGGGATTTTTCTTAAATATCCTCCTTTCCCTCTTGGCTCCCAGTTTCCCTCAGTCTTTCGGTCCAAGCACTAGCTGTGGCTCCAGTGAGGTTTCATTGTGTTTAAATTTAAATTGGATTTTAAATTGGATATTTAAAATTTATTTAAAATTTATTAATTGGCACTTGGCTGGATTCAGGGAGGTTCAGGTCTCCTGAGAGATCGAGGCTTTGCCTCGTGGCTCCGCAGCCTCCGGAGAGCAGTCAATTCCCTCCGCGCTCAGTGGGGACCGTTTTCCAGCTAAACTGGAACAGCGGCTTGAATGCGGCACCCAGTGGCCCCTTTATTGAAGCACAGTTGGCCGCTTGCTTCTTTAAATGCCGTCTGTTGCCGCTGGCTTCCCACGCGGCCCGAAGAATTGCCGCAGCTACAGAAGAGCATGTGCTGCCTCTGTAATTGGCCGGCTGAAGGCAAAATGGCCCCAGGGGAAGAGAAGCAGGCGCGAAGGCTCCACTAAAGGCAGAGTGGTCCCAGAACGACCAGGGGCCGACGTGAGGATCTCAGGACCTGGCTCGTTGCGAGGCTAACCCCTCAGAGCCACGTGCGCTTACAAAGGGCCCAATCCTTACACATGAGGCGTGGCAGCCATTGGTGCGACCTGATGGGCAGCGGCCTCATTCCATGCCTACGGCAGCACCCAAATCAAGCAGAGGCCTCAGGACAAGAACAACAGAATCCAGAGCCATCTAAAGACATATGAGTGAGGCATGGCCTCAACAACTTCTGATATGGCCCAAGGGGATCTTGCAGAGGAGGGCCAGGGCAGGCTTAGGCCCAGAGCAGTGGCCTCCAGGCCTCCAGCCGACCAGTGCCCCTCCAGAGCTACGGCCAGAGATGAATCTAGAAGACAAAAAGCCCTGGAAAAACAGGTGGCCAGAGCAGAGAGGCTGGCTCAGGCGACTAGGCCTGAATCCCCCAGCAGATCCAGATCCTCCATTGGGGCCAGTTCTCAAACATGTAGTTCCCCTACCAGGGGGTTCAGTCCTTCCTCTCCCTCCATCTCTCTGGCCAGGAACTGCAGGGAGGTGACTTCTTCTCCTCCCATATCTCCTAGAGGATATAGGGGAAGGGTGGAGGACCCGGGGAAAGGGGGATCCCGGGACTACCTACCAGCAGCCCAACTTGCCCCCAAGGTCCCCCCATCACGAGGCCCTTCCGATGAGGATTTAGAGGATTTGGATCAGTTGCCAGATAGCATCAGGAGCCTCATCTCCGCTGCAATATCTAAGGGTATTTCCTTGGGCCTAGACCAGAGGGATAATTCTTCCCAAGGGGTGTCTAGGCCTCCAGCAGCTTCCAGGCGGAGGTCTCTCTCTTCTTCCAGAGGGCACGAGATTTCTAGGCCGCCTTCCCCTTCAGTGGTGAGCCTTCCCCTTGAGTGGCCATCTTGGGGGAGGCTACACACCCAGACCCGGGATTCTCAGAGGACGAAGATACAGCTCCCTCGGAAGCCCGAGCCTTTCTGGGGCTTCCCCCCCATGCCTTTAAGCCTATGTTATGCAAGGCCAAAAAGACTACTCAGATAGGCACAGAGGCCCCTCCGGTGTCTCAGCACAGGGATATGAATTTGGCCATATTTATAAATCCCAATACGGATAAGGAGGAAGTTCCAGCTCCTCCTCTCTTCCTCGAGGTAGTACAGAACCAGTGGGCAAGGCCTTTTTCCTTGCCCAACCCAGGGGGCAATGATAAACACTACTACAACATGGAACAAGCCTTTTCCCAGGCCTTGCAACTCCCCATGGTGGATGCCCCAGTCGCCCTTTTGGCCAATGCCTCTACTGTAGTCTCAGGTGACGTGGCCGACAAACTGAAGCCAGAGGACAAGCATGTGGAGCTTACCCTTCGTAAGAACTTCAACGCATCTGCCTGGGCCATTAAGGTAACTGCGGCAGCGTCCTATTTCAACCGCACGACATTCTCCAGTGTGCTGCTTGGAGAGTCCAAGCGTGCGTTAACACAGCCTATCTGCCCTTGGACTGAGTGACATTTTTCTTGACCACGCCTCCCTTTGCCTCCCTATATTCAGTTTCAAAACTCAGTCTGCCCGTGAGGACTGTTTTGGGAGTTCTCCAATCCAAGAGCAAATAGGCTGGCCTCCCCAATTATAATTTGACCACTTGAAGTTTCTAAAGAAAAAATCTGGATAAGTGTGACTTAGGATGTTTGATTGCTGAGAGGTTTCCAGGCCACTTTCTCCCCCACTGGTTGCAAGTGGGGCGGAATGCACGAGTTGTTTGCCCAGCGGCTGCTGGCGAGCGAGGGGGGGCGGGAGGCTTGCCGGGTCCGTATTTCCCCCGATCGCTGAATTCCTCTAGCCACGCCAACGAGCGCGATCTCAGTGGCATCTGCGGTGCTCTTGTTTTGCCCAGCAACGGCGGCAACCATTTTCAGTCAGATTCACACGCCTTCTACCCATTGGCTGACGGTTTTGACAGGTGGTGGCTGCGTGCGCAGCGGCCACCATTTTCTTCACTCCGACTGGTGAGCAGCCCTGTGTGGAGGCATTTGGGGCCAGGGAGAGAGCAAAGATCGTGAGCATTACCTCTCAGCTGCAGATTACCGCCGGGAGCTGTGGGGCCTAGTCCAGGGCGCCGGCTAGCCCTGCTCTCTATCTATTGACACCCGGGGACCCGAGGGCGGTTGGGGGAAGGGATCTGTCCGTCAGGCGGCCCTCTCCTCCCTTGAAGATCTGTGGGCGCGCTTGAGCCAGCTGGCCAGCGTCTGGTGCCCACCTACTGCGAGTCCAGTCAAGA